ACTCTCCGCATATTTCGCAATTCCACCGCATAAAATCACATAAAACCCCCGCATGTTTAATCGCATAATCAAGGATTTTAGCCCGCATAATCAATGATTTTTGCCCGCGTTTTTCTGGAGGGTCTAATTACCCGTCCCCTTGTGTGTTATGAAGGTTTTTATGCATGTAAACGGTCTGCAGAGTCACAAACCCTCAAAGTACACCCTGTAGCGAAGTAAAACTCTAACACAGAAAATAACTTTCTATGCTGCCCCAGAACGCCTCGTTGGACATTTCTCTTTTTCCATTGTTTTCTTCCTGGGTACAGTGACGTGCCCATACCCAAATGGACCAATCCGTGGAGCCGTAACGTTACGTCCGTGGAGCCGCTACGTTAAGTGTGTGAGGAAGTCCGCGGATTGGACCAATCCACAGACTTCCTCACACACACACACACTCAATCTTTTCTCAGCTGCAGCTCCGCCGATTTCTCCTCCCTGAGACGGCGGGACGCGGCGAGGCTGTGAGTCGGTGTGTAAGCACACACACAAACTCCCAGCCAGGCTGCGGGTGTGTGTGTGTGTGTTCGGGCTGGTTTCGGGCTGGGTTTCGCTGTGTCTTGCTGTCTCGCAGACGGCCACTGGACTCACAGGGAGGGGGGCGGCAGGAGCTCCAACAAGCCGTTTAGGACAGAGAGTGAATACACATACTATAAAGAGATGCTGTATGAGAAACCAATGTGAGTTGGAAAATTGCACAATATAAATCTATTTTAGTAGACCTCAACAATGGAATTATGATCAGTAGAAATGGCCATGACATGGGACCTTTAAGTAGTGACAATTACTGATTTGCATCACTTGTTCTTCTTCATTTCATAATGTAACATCTTGGTTTTGCTGAGTTCATATTACTATTATCAGTACTAAAGTCTTACCACAGAAAAGGTGTCCGCAGTTGGTTTCTACAGGCAGTACAGCCTGCTGTAAACACACAGGACAAGACATGTCTGTGTAATACTGTTGCCTCGCCTCCGACTGTGAATTTTCATCCTGACAGAAAAAGCAAACACATAAGTAAAAACATATGAAAGTTTAAAATGTGAGAAATGGTAGAACAGACAATTTAAAAATGAATCTACTTTACAAAAACAGACATGTTTAACTGAGATAAAAGCAGCTTACAATCCTGCAAAAACCATGCAGTTTATGATCTCTATATACAGTATACAGTCTGTTTATGACCCTATTTCCTACCTGCAAAATATATTAATTGTGTTCAAATTTCTTTGAAACATGTACGATTAATGGTAAATAAAAAGTGCATTTCATGTCTTGTCGTTGTTTCTAGACTTTCTTTGTCAACTGTATTTTGGCAGAAAGGCTAGAGCTGTAACGTACCTGCTCTGTTTGGAGCTGCTGTCTCACTGCTCGCACATGCTCTTGATTCTCTGGATGAATGTTCTGCTCCTCTTGTCTGCAAGAAGGCCAAAGGTTAGAAATGTGGCTTTGTAATAGTCCCCAGCGGAAGGTAATGAGTGTAAAAGCACACAAAGCAAGGTAAACAAACAAGGACATTTCTTTTAGAGAATGTATTTGGAAGGCTAATACAAAACACCACATGTATATCCTACTTTACATAAACATCATGGTCAGTATATTAATTTACCTGCAGAGCAGAGTGAGGAGGCCTGCAAGGAAGGTGATAGTGAGTACCACAACAAATAAGACCTGGTTGCTGATGCCCTCAATGAAGGTGTCCTCATCATGGACCAGGTAGTCCAAGTCCCCACATTCATTGTCCTCCATCACCCACACTCATAGCCTACAACACTAAACCAAATGGATACAAAAAAGTGGTTAGCATTTCCTTAGATAGTGTTTCTGATTATATCTATATAACATGATCAAATAGAATACTAACTTAGCTATAACTGCATAAAATAACACAATGTAGTAACATGTTAGTACTGTCATATTCCCTCTATGACAGCTAAGTAGGAGAGTTTTCCATTTCTAAAACGTTTAAACTCATTTAGCAGATCTACGGTATGAAAACCAGTTGCATTATTAGTACTTTCAACACAAGTTAACTAGCTACAAAAGGAGTGGGTCTTGCAGGCTGCTTAACGTTAGCTCATCTTACAAACTAGCTATCATACATTTCAATATATTACCTTATATATATATAATTTCCAGTACCACTCAAATCCAAGATCACACACTATAAGGAAGTCGTTGCTGTTTATCTTGCTTACATTATCAGCTAGCACTGTCTGCCATAAACTCAAAATGCCACACAACTAGCTTAGTTTAGTGTTAGCTCGCAGAGTAGCCTTGACTCGCTAATAATACGCTGTAAGTATATTTATGAATACTGCTGACGTTGATGGCAAAGGGTTTTCGTTTCGATAATGTTAGCACATCCGCTAAAGGAAAGTAGCTAACTTAACGGTAGCGTTATTACATACTGATAAATAGACCAATGGCCGAGTCTTCTAAATCCGAGTTTAACCTGGCCATAATAGCTCGTAGCTAAATCATAAACATAGCTATCCTTTTACCTAGTTACCCAAGAGTCAACGTGTGGCACAAGAGCACAATCCAGTAGAGTACACGTAGCCTAACAACTACATTACAATGCGTTGCAATCATGGTTGCAATGCAACAGGGCGCATGACGATGACATACCAACAAGAAATCCAGCTTTTTCTTAAGGCTAGACTTGCCCAGTCCATTCAAGGTCCTAAATCTTGAAACAATCTCTTTGAATAGGGGACAGATTTAATCAGTTTTGCATGTTGTTTCAGGTAGTTGCGTCTTCTTCTTCCTTCTTCTGGGATTACCTGCTGTCAACGTTTCTAGCAACCAACGCCCTCCACGGGTCAGATGGTGGTTAGTTACTTGTTTCTTTTGGAGAAGCAATTCAAAACAATTTCTTCAAAAGAGAATTCATTTTAATATTACAGCTTGTATACAAAAATATTGAGCTCATTTGCATACACAAGTTAAATATTTAAACCATGTTCTACATTCATCCATCTATCTTTTGTCCAATTCATTTTTATTTCACACTCTCACCAGTAGGGGCCAGCAGTGACCAGTATAATCAGCGCACAGCCGGTTTGACTGACCCTAAAAACAAGAAGAAGGGATAGTAAGGCGTCAGTAATTAATCCAAAAAAACTATAGCTATCTACAGCTAACGATTAAGGGGATTTAACGTTTTAACAACACACTGAGGCAAAATGCCTCGTTTTGCACAGCTCGTGATTGGCCCCGCGGGAAGCGGGAAGGTAAGTTACTCAGTTACACGTGTTGAGATGCCTTGTTATGCTATTCGGCTAAAGCGCTATGCTAAGGCATGAGATTGTCTAGTCATACACATACACATACATGAAGTTGAAGTCATATCGTTTATTTGTATCTGTTTATTGTTGGAATGTTGTGTTACATTTCAGAGTACCTACTGCTCCACCATGCTCCAGCATCTAGGGGCCATGAACCGCTCAGCTCAGGTGGTCAACCTGGACCCAGCAGCTGAGCACTTTGACTACCCTGTCATGGCAGGTGAATACATCATGTTTAGGTTACAAAGTCATTACATTTACTTATATAAAGCAGCCCTATACAACCCACAACAGTGTTACAAAAAAGTAAGTAGAGATTAAAGAGTTATGTTATTACATGCATTTATTGGGTTTAATCCATGATTTAAGAAGTTGTTTTCTAATAACAGATATATAGTTGACTTGGTTCACATAATGTACAGCAACAGACTAAACAAGGATACAGTACAATGTGATCACATCAATGCACTCAGTAATCCTATCAATACAAAAGCATAACAAAGCAATAAACTGGGTATGGTTCCAACAGGCTCATTTAATTGACTTTAGTATATACCGTATATAGTACATACATATTGTGAATAACTTAATACTCTTATCATTTAATACTTTTTGTCACATTTTGCATACTTACGGTTAGTGTTATTGTGTACGGCACCCTCATTGTTTCTGTGTCTGCAGACATCCGAGAGCTCATCCAGGTGGATGACGTGATGGAGGACCCCTCTCTCAGATTTGGCCCCAATGGAGGCCTGGTATTCTGCATGGAGTACTTCGCCAACAACTTTGACTGGCTGGGGGAAAGCCTGGGTCACGTAGAGGATGACTACATACTGTTCGACTGCCCAGGTAAACACCTTGGCACGGAAAGCACTATATTCTCCTAGTTATGGAGCCATGTGTTTACAGCTTGAGCACAGTTTCTTCTTTTTTTTGCAGGTCAGATTGAACTGTACACACACCTCCCTGTAATGAAGCAGCTGGTGGAGCAGCTCCAGCAGTGGGAGTTCCGGGTGTGCGGGGTCTTCCTGGTGGACTCCCAGTTCATGGTGGAGACTTTTAAGGTGACAGATGACCTTACCAGTTCTGAACTAAAGTACACTTGATGTAATTATAACAGCAACCATGAGGTCTCACATCTTCCCTCTTCTCTAACTGCAGTTCATCTCAGGAGTCATGGCTGCCCTGAGTGCCATGGTGGTGTTAGAGATCCCTCAAATAAACATCATGACAAAAATGGACCTGCTCAGTCCCAAGGCCAAGAAGGAGATTGAAAAGTAAGTCTCACACCGGGTGCAGTACAAAAGTCTGGTGTTTTCATCAATTCAACGTTTTCATCTGGAAGCATCTGTAGTTATGTATCCCTTTCTTTTTCACTAGGTACCTGGACCCAGACATGTACTCAATGATGGAAGACACCTCCGATAACATCAGGAGCAAAAAGTTCAAAAAATTGACCGAAGCCATTTGTGGTCTGGTAAGTGACACCCTTAACGTTTGGATAAAAAGGAGTTGTGTGAGATACTTTACCATAGTTGGTGTATGACCTACAGTATATATTGGTCAGCATGACTAAACCTTAATACAGAAGTCATACATTAACACAAATTAACCAATTGATGAAGCGATAGAGCAGCAACTACCATGTTTTTCTTTTAGGTAAAATTACTGTTTTTGTCGTAAGCATTGATATCGGCTCCCCGTCCGATGGCAGTGAACATTTTCCAAAGATGGCATTACTTTTAATCTGATTGTGACCTTTTTTTCAGTGGCTAAAATACATGTTGCTGCTAAAGCCAGTTGAGTAGCACTTGAAATGTTTGGCTCTATGAAACCTGATGTTCTTATATGATTCGGTTTTCTTCAGGGTTGTGTCTTCCTGGTCGAATGTACTTATTGTAAGTCGCTTTGGATAAAAGCGTCAGCTAAATGCAATGTAATGTAACCCCATCCACAGAACCACATGTTGTACTTGTATGCCATTACTCCTGTCTTTTTCTAAAAACTAGGTAACACACTGATTACAGTACAGTACTTCATACAACTCCACTTCAAATCACTGAACTATACTTTTAATATGATACAACATTTGATTATAATTTCGTTTTTATTTTTTATTTGACATTCTATTTGTCCGTGTGTCCAGATTGATGATTATAGCATGGTGAGATTCATGCCTTTTGACCGCACAGATGAGGAGGGTATGAACATGGTATTGCAAAGCATTGATTTCTCAATACAGTATGGAGAGGACCTGGAGTTCAAGGAGCCCAAGGTGACGAAACAAGCAAAACAACTATATCAAACATAATTTAACAACATGATTTAAACTACAATACTTCATATTTTAATATACTAAATGATTCCCTTTGTTGTTTTCCCATTCTTTCCTTTTACCTACAGGAGGTTGATGACGAGTCGGCTGACCTAAATTATGATGAGATTTTTCAAGGCAAAGGGGACAGCTGAGGATACAAAACCAAGAATCAGGGGAAAAAAGAGACTAGAGTTGAACCCAACATTTGAGGCTGAAGACGAACCAGGAATAACAATATCAATTCCTGAGGATAATGACTGCAAGCAAAATAAGAAGAAGGATATGGGCAGAAAAAACTGGCTCACAAGATCATCAATACCTTCCTATATTATGTTCCGAAGTTTTCTTTTGTGCTGTATTGTCATTATTTCAAGACAACGTTTTATTTTAAAGAGTTTTTGTTAAATACATTTATAAAATGCTATATTTTCTAAATAAAATATTACACAAAATAACTATATGACTTCCTGTGTAATTAACCTGGTGTGCTAGCGCCCCCGTGTGGACGGTACGCTACATTACACGTGTCCACTTCCTGTAAAGCTGAAGGGTGGGACAGGCGGAAGCTGGGTCCTGCAGTGCTAGTATTTTTTATTTCGCTGAGCAGTTGGACTGATATTTATCACTCAGCATGCCGGTGAGTAAATCCTACACGATAACTAACGAGCAAAGGCGTATTTTTTAGGCTAAGAGCAAAGCGAATGCATATAAACTCCACTGGATGACAAGGGCCTCCGAGTAAACGATAGCTATGGTGACGAATCTCGTTAGCATATTTGGCTAGCTAAGCTAACATTTTCTATCTATGTTATTGATGTTCTTCAAGTCAGAATTATTGCATTTAACGGGTTTAACCTAACTTACTTTGTTATTATTTATGTATCTATTAAATACATCGTTAGTTGTCGTGATAGTATAGCCGTAAGAGCGGATGTGTCTGAAGCAGAGATGTCACTGATGCTCTGATAAAAATATACCTGGAAAATAAATATCAGTGACAGCACCTTTCTCTTATTTGCAGGCGTATCACTCGAGCCTGATGGTCCCTGACACCAGGATGGTGGGGAATATGGCTTTGCTTCCCATCAAAACCCAGTTCAAGGGTCCAGCCAGAGGAGACGGTAAGTTTTTACGGTCGTTTTAATTATTATAAAGTGGATCCAGTCCCCCATGATTACATAAACAAACATGTATCGTTTCTAATGGCTATTTTGCTACGTTTTTGTCACCTTATGACACTTTCCTCACTTCCTGATAAATGCATTACCCTTATTTCCATATATGGCCTGAAGAGTGCATCCTTAAGTTGTACTTCTTCATTAATGTCTTTAGCTTTTCATTGTCTGTGGAGCTTGATGACCCTCAAAGATTTTGCAGATATTTTAGTATTGTATAGAACAGTTGAAGAGGTAATAGTCAACAGAACAGAATATGTGTATGGTAGTCTTCGTGTGGCCATGATTTACTTGATTTTTTTAAAATGAGTGCATTAGTATGCCACTTTAAAGGTTACTAGAAATTGATTTTATATTCAAACTGCTTAGTCACTTGGCATCTTTTCCATCAAGTCTGTATAAAACACATCTAAAAATTAACCTTTCAGTTATTGATACATTTTTTTCCATTTTAGGCATGGAAACTGACATAGTTGATGAGGCCATCTACTACTTCAAGGCCAACGTTTTCTTTAAGAACTATGAAATCAAGGTAAGCAAGTATTTAAAGTTCATGAACATTTGTTTGCATAAAAGCTAAGGACTATGCTGCCTTTTATATATTCTTCAAAGCAAAAGAGGAAGAAAATAAGTGTCCATTTGTGCTTGTTCCTGAATGTGTTTCCTCTTGCCCACCTCTCTCTCTCTGTCTGTCTAAAGCAGCTCTGCAATTAGTTCTTCCACATGCCCCAGCTTGCATACTTTCCCCCATTCCCCTCAGCAATGCATATTTGCTTTGGGTTCAAACTACATAACCCTTTGCTGTGCAGACCTGACTGGAACTTTTATGGAATTTCTTTACAATAACATTAACGCTTAAGACAAAATACTTTTTTCAGTCTAATTCAAAGTATTTCAGCAGGTAATGTGATTTTAATATATCTAATAATATAATATGTATATATGTTCATTTTAATTCATTTCTTATTTTAAAGGTTACTTACCTGTATATCATTTTATTTTTATCTTTGATTTTATCTTTAATGTTATTAATCTATAATCTGTGCTGTCCTGTTTTTCCTTCTTACCCTGTTGCTGTTAAACTACTGAATTTCCCCACAGGGATTAATAAAGCTCCATCTTATTTTCAGAATGAGGCGGACAGGACGCTGATCTATGTCACACTGTACATTTCTGAATGCCTAAAGAGGCTACAGAAGGTAAGTTGTTCATGTTTACACAGGAAGATGTCTGCAATCCAAGTGATTTTAATAAAAAAGTGGTATGAGTAGCATCAATTAAAAGACTTGTGGGGTTGCGTTCCAATAGTCCATTTAGCTTAGGAACCTTCCTAACCAAGTGAAATGACCCGGAAGTACGTCAGTGGCAGCCATTAAGTGCCGTTCCAATTCTTTAAAGCCTCATCCCAATACCCCTCCTCGACCCCTCCTTTCCCTCACTCGCTTCCCTTCCTTGCATCTTAGCTCCGCCTCCGTAAGATGCGAGCCAGAGACACGAGGAGGTGACGCGAGGACAGAGGAGTCCTCAGGTATTAATTGGGATGTCCTCGTTCACTCAAACGTCACTCTTAAACGACTTCTGTTAATGATGACATGTGCACAGCTGTATCCCCTCGAGTCGGGCTTAACTGAATAACCCCTTAGAACCGGCCCAATTCTGGTTAAATATTTATTTAAATGAATGAATCTTTCTCTTGTTAGTCAAGGAATTCAATGTATGATGGTTGGTCCTGCTTTTGTGTTCCGTTTTGGTGTAAAATGTAGCCTACATTTAAATAGAAATATAATTATAGTAATGTAAAGCCTTTTAGAAATGAATTGCACATAATAATTCCCACGGAGCTGTGAGCACTTATACATTTATGTGANGACACCAGCGACCCAGTATTCATGCGACCTACCTATAAGGAGGCACCTAAGTACCGAAGGATAACTGTGTGTCGTTACGTAAAGGTTTGTAAAACTTATGGCATACGACTTACATAACTAAAAAGTTAAATGTGTGTGGGTGCCGTAGATACGTGCAGACAGGCAGGACCCTTCTCCCTACGGGAGGAGACACGAGAAGGGACTCCAAACGAGGTAAAAGGGGAAATTTGGACCCCCCCCAAAAACGAGGCCTTCAAAAGGAACATGGCTATCACTCCCGTGTCCTGTGCTCCCACAGCATAACAGTACTGACCTCATAAGACATGTTTGACACTTCAGGTGACTCCGTTGTACATTTTTACACACCGTATAACCCGGGATAGTTATGATTATTCGTAACTAACTAACTGAACTTACTACTTATTTGTGCACTCCTCCCCTCATACCTTTCCTCGCCGATAACTTCCCAGTGACGGTTCCACGCACGTGTCTCCGCCTATAAAAGAAATCCCTCGTTGTCTTATTAGTTTGGGAATCCGTAGTTAAAGTATCGTGTTGACAATTATGACCGAGTGTCCGACGACACATACGATCCACATACAGTATGTCGTGGCAATTTATCTGACGAGGTGTCCGGGACGACACATACTCACATAAGGTATGTGATAGTTGATTTAATTTTTTTTTTCCGCCGAATTCATTTGAAATAAAATTAAAAAATCAGTGTATAATGTATCCATAATTTACTCTAGTATAGATATTAACGTACAAAGATTGACGATGGGTACATAACATATGTATTTACATTTGATAATACTTGTAGATTTCATGAGTAACATTTCCAAATTCTAATATTGTATTCATAGGTGTAGTACCCAGTAATTTCAAGTTCCGTCCGCTACCAATTCCATGTCCGGTGTGTTTGTACTTTCGTATAAATTTTTGATTTAAAGACTAGACCTGTAAGTCGTACATCACAAACCATACAAGAAACTTCCGTAGTAATTTTGTAAAGAATTTTCCGTAAGTAACTGCCTTTGGACACCATATGCAATCGGTTTCAAAGCACTCTTGTAAGGCGGGGATTCGACCCTACCGTCAATAAAATATTTTGTGCAATTAAAAAATTATCTTGTACGATAACAATATATTACAATATTCTTTCATTTTCATCGTCATACCGTTATGTTATATACACCGGCTTCGGTGCCTTATTTCTGTTAATCACAGTAAGTCGAAACGGACGGATCAACGTAAGCGTTTGTTTCATCGTTTTTTTCCGTACGAACGTAGTACTTTTGTAGAGCGACGAAAGCATACTTGGGACCTGCTTCATTCCGTGACGCTTGCCCATTCGAATCAAGTGTTGACGGACGCCGTTGTCTGTCGTAACGACGGCGTATTTAAATTCTAGGACGTCGTCTTTCGGCCTCCTTCACGTACGCTACGTTAAGCAACGAAGGGCCCGTCGGCTTCCTATGTAGAAGTAAGGAAGACTACCGCAACGGATAATTCGTGTGAAAAAAAGATCAGTTTATTGACAGCCAGCCATTTGACGGTCTGTAGGTCCTTTTTTCCCTGAGGATCACAGGGAGGGATTTGGGTCAAGAGCGTCATTATGACAGCCGCCGAGCGCACGTTTAGTCGACCTAGGGTAGGGTAGAGGCCTACTGCGGACGTCATTTTCCGAGCCGGGAGCGGACTAAGTATTACAGCGGTACCACGGGAGAGAGATAGACGCATAAGATCATGGACTGCCACCATCTAGGAAAAGGGCATTTAACGTGTGATTTTCTATTAGAGTACTTACAAATAGTCGACTATGCGGCCATTTAAACTAAAATCGCGCGGTCGATTTGGCAGTCGCCCTGGGGCGTACCGTAGCATCAGAGGCGCGTTGCTCACCGATCGTGAAATACGTCGATCGTAAGTTCTTCTCTGTTGCCAAAAGTGTGAGAAGTAGGTAAGTTATAGGTTTGAAAAAAATGAGTTAGGTTTTGTCTAGTAGTACCAGTTGGCGAGGGTGACTGTGCCCGACTGCGCAAACGAAGGGGTTGGCGGCCACTGAGATAGGAGGTAGTTTTTAGTTGAGGAGATTCTCTCCTCCGTCGTCGAAGACACTGTAGTGGAGGAGGAACCGAGCACGTGCTTCCGGGCCGTGACAGTGAGGTGAAGTGCCAGTGTCTCGCCACCGACCGACGAGAGTTTTAAGAATGTACTCGCGTTACGGACGAGGTGCTTCCCGGGCCCCTTTCCACTCAAACCCACACCCCAGGTCACACATACCACCGTTCTCTGAAGAGGCGACACGACGATGTGGGCCCGGTAATCTCCACGGTTATATCGTGATGACTTGATGTATGGATTCTTATGTCACAGTCTTACTTGTTTATAGGTTCTCATTCGCTATGCGGCTTTCGTTACGCTTATTCTTTGTTTGTATAACTCGGTTGTTGTTTTTCTTCACCCACACTTACAAACACTATACGTGTTTTCATTTTCTCTTATCTCTACTGGTCATAACGGTCAAGACAAAAGACAGTCATAATGAAATGACAAGCGAAACAAATAGTTTATAAGAGAATCGAAATCCAGGGACACTCTCTCGACCACGTAGATCCAGGACTCGCAATCCATGACACAGGACCGCAGGATCATCCATGACTCCGGATCCCGGCGTATATAGACACCAAAAAGAAAGAAATTTGGGGAAGCTGGGTTAATCGGAACATGAGAGTACACAGGTATAGACAGAGAGAAGGAAGAAGTAAGATGTCCCCCGACAAACTAAGCCTATATCAGCAAAACTAGGGGCTGAATCTAATCAGCCCTAACTATAAGCTTTATCAAAAAGGAAGGTCTTAAGCGCACTCTTAAAAACGGATAGGGTGTCTGCCGCCCAAACACAAACTGGAAGCTGATTCCACAAAAGTGGAGCTTGATAAGAAAAGGCTCTGGCTCCCATTGTACTTTTAGAGACTCTAGGAACAACCAACAACCCTGCATTCTTGGAACGCAATGCTCTAGTAAGACAGTAGGGTATAATGAGTTCTTTAATCATTCACTTCATTCTATCTTTTATTCTGTAGATTGTGTACATTACTTTTCACTTTACTGCTTTTTGCACTCCTGGTTAGAAGCTAAACTGCATTTCGTTGTCTCAGTACCTGTAACCTGTGCAATAACAATAAAGTTGAATCTAATCTTGAGCAGGAACAAAAGATTTACTTATCTGACATTAAAACCTCTTAAGCCCCACGGACCCGGTTCCGGGGCCGAAATCGCGTCATTTGCAGCAAACAACGTCTAAGGAACCTTAATATTTAGTAAACTATGAATATTTTATATCCATATAACGGGAAAAAAATCACTTAACTGATCTTTTTTTTTTTTTTTTTTTTAAACACGCAATGCTAACAGTGAGCCTCTGAATTAGCCCCGAGCGAAAAATGCTAACCTATTACTGCACCGAAAATCACTCCTAGCTCCCTTATTACTTATCCTAGCTGCACATCCAACACATCGTTTATGATCGTAAAGACACAGAATCTAACGGTGCCCACCTCAACACTGAAAGATACAAACTCGCTACGTTATCAACAAAAACGTACATCAAAACAAGTGGCGCTAGGGCCACAACGCTAACATGGCTTACCTTGGTTTTGTCTGGTCAAAACTGGTCCTCAATGGCATAAAACGATAACAACGATGATGTAGTTAATCCATAGGTTAATATCCAATGTGGCTGTGTCCCCTTCGAAACGTTCTGATAATCTATAAGCAATAAAACTGCAATTCCGTTTTAAAATAGTAGAGCAGGCCATTCTTACCCTCTGTAGAAAGATTGAACGCGCAAAGACGGCATATTTTTTTTAACATCAGTGTGTGCGGGACGATTTCCCTTCGATTCTATTGGCTCTAACGGTCAGAAAGAGATGTCACATGTGTCAAAATCGAAGAAGGGGTGGCCAGAGATAAGGAAAATCCACCCAAATGCCCCCAGAAGAGGGTTTTTTTTGCTAAATCTGTCTAAAAAGGTCAAATATCACTTGTTTTGCATCAGTCTTGATACAGGGTTATTATGTTGTACTTTGGATTCCTAAAGCTTTTAGTCAACTAACCCATCATCCAAGGTTAGTTTTCACTATAAGTACAAAATATTATTTGGACGGACAATATAATTTACAGTTTTTTACCATGTTCAATCTGAATTTTCTTTAAAATAAAAAACATCTATATTGATTCTGACTTTTCTACATCCAACTCACAGGTTTATCATTACTTTGAGAAAAAATATTATTAATTTAACCCTTTTAGAAGTGAAGATATGGTCATTTGTTCTGGGAATGTCATTTTCGAGCCTGACACCTGAAAAACAGGCTTGGGGCTTAAGAGGTTTTAATCAATGCAAAAAATGA